GGACGGGTGCGATCATACCAGCACTAATGCACCGGATCCCATCAGAACTCCGCAGTTAAGCGTGCTTGGGCGAGAGTAGTACTAGGATGGGTGACCTCCTGGGAAGTCCTCGTGTTGCACCCCTCCTTTTTGCTCAGCGCGCAACGAGTTCCTTTGTGAAAATTTTTTTTTTTATTGTTTTGCTCCGATCGACGGCTCCTTTTTTGTTGTATTCCCGCCGTCAGCGTGGACGCCTGGGAATGAGAAGCACGCCGGGTTTCTCGTTGCGCGGAGTTCTGGACAAGGTTTCGGGGAGGGGGTGACCGTCGGGCGACCCCGCCTCCCGCATCGGAAGTTGCGGGTCGGGGAGGGCGCGCGGAAGCTCGTCCGGCCAAAATGCCGTGTTTCCCGGCGTTCGGGGCGACGGCGAGGGGTCCGGGCCCGCGTTTCCCTGCGTTCGGCGCCGGGAGCGGGCCAGGAGGGCGGGAGAGGCGCGCGGGGTGACGTATAAGGGGGGAAGGAGAAGGGGAGTGGACGGGTGCGATCATACCAGCACTAATGCACCGGATCCCATCAGAACTCCGCAGTTAAGCGTGCTTGGGCGAGAGTAGTACTAGGATGGGTGACCTCCTGGGAAGTCCTCGTGTTGCACCCCTCCTTTTTGCTCAGCGCGCAACGAGTTCCTTTGTGAAAATTTTTTTTTTTATTGTTTTGCTCCGATCGACGGCTCCTTTTTTGTTGTATTCCCGCCGTCAGCGTGGACGCCTGGGAATGAGAAGCACGCCGGGTTTCTCGTTGCGCGGAGTTCTGGACAAGGTTTCGGGGAGGGGGTGACCGTCGGGCGACCCCGCCTCCCGCATCGGAAGTTGCGGGTCGGGGAGGGCGCGCGGAAGCTCGTCCGGCCAAAATGCCGTGTTTCCCGGCGTTCGGGGCGACGGCGAGGGGTCCGGGCCCGCGTTTCCCTGCGTTCGGCGCCGGGAGCGGGCCAGGAGGGCGGGAGAGGCGCGCGGGGTGACGTATAAGGGGGGAAGGAGAAGGGGAGTGGACGGGTGCGATCATACCAGCACTAATGCACCGGATCCCATCAGAACTCCGCAGTTAAGCGTGCTTGGGCGAGAGTAGTACTAGGATGGGTGACCTCCTGGGAAGTCCTCGTGTTGCACCCCTCCTTTTTGCTCAGCGCGCAACGAGTTCCTTTGTGAATTTTTTTTTTATTGTTTTGCTCCGATCGACGGCTCCTTTTTTGTTGTATTCCCGCCGTCAGCGTGGACGCCTGGGAATGAGAAGCACGCCGGGTTTCTCGTTGCGCGGAGTTCTGGACAAGGTTTCGGGGAGGGGGTGATCGTCGGGCGACCCCGCCTCCCGCATCGGAAGTTGCGGGTCGGGGAGGGCGCGCGGAAGCTCGTCCGGCCAAAATGCCGTGTTTCCCGGCGTTCGGGGCGACGGCGAGGGGTCCGGGCCCGCGTTTCCCTGCGTTCGGCGCCGGGAGCGGGCCAGGAGGGCGGGAGAGGCGCGCGGGGTGACGTATAAGGGGGGAAGGAGAAGGGGAGTGGACGGGGGCGATCATACCAGCACTAATGCACCGGATCCCATCAGAACTACGCAGTTAAGCGTGCTTGGGCGAGAGGAGTACTAGGATGGGTGACCTCCTGGGAAGTCCTCGTGTTGCACCCCTCCTTTTTGCTCAGCGCGCAACGAGTTCCTTTGTGAAAATTTTTTTTTATTATTGTTTTGCTCCGATCGACGGCTCCTTTTTTGTTGTATCCCCGCCGTCAGCGTGGACGCCTGGGAATGAGAAGCACGCCGGGTTTCTCGTTGCGCGGAGTTCTGGCCCCCGCCTCCCGCATCGGAAGTTACGGGTCGGGGAGGGCGCGAGGAAGCTCGTCCGGCCAAAATGCCGTGTTTCCCTGCATTCGGCACCGGGAGCGGGCCAGGAGGGCGGGAGAGGCGCGCGGGGTGACGTATAATTTATTTTTACGATTATTAAATAAATAAATCAATTATTATAATAGTATTAGATTATCAAGTGTATGATGTTTTAATATACTATAGGAATTAATATTTATGTAATAATGCAACTCCAATTAGATTATAATAGTCCAAAATTATATTAAACATTAGATTTTTAATAGTATAAGATTATAATTAAACATTTTTTAGTGCTTGTTAGATACATATAACGTTTATATCTCATCTAGAGTGATTTTAAATAAAAATTGAAATAGTTAATTATGTAACTCTAATTAAATTAATAAATTAATCATTATATAATCAAATTATTAACAATAACTTGGTGTTTATGTGCACTTATATAAAGGCATACATAAAACGTTTTATTCGAACTTTAATAGGTTATAGTGTCAAAGATACACATACCAAGATAGAAAATAGTTCACACTTCTCTAATTCTACCTTAAGTGGTCCCCACAAAACTTAGATATTCTAAGGAGTGAAATTTTGATGTTCTTCTAATGGAAACATTTTATAAAGAAGAAAATCAGCAGTTTGGAAAGCTTCTTTTCGTGCATTAACACTTTTGACAAGTGGGCTCCTCTTGATACATCCAACAAATTATCACAAACCCCTCCAACGTCCATCTCTTTCATTTCACTCCGTGTATAATCTCCTTCCCAGGTCCCCCCTCTCTCACTCTTCACATAACAAATACTAGGTCAAATCAATCATATCATACTCTCTTTAAAAGCATGAGTTCGGGAAAATCTTTTGGTAGACAAAAAGATCATTGAAATTCAAATTAATCCATTAAGTAAGAGTAAGTTGATAAATTGATGAATTCTTATTGGATATACATAGTATGAAGATAATGATATAGTTTAAATTGAAATGTAAACCTAAATGAATTTATTAAATGCCAAATTTATAAATATATACAAGATGAATGGCGTATATGCAAAAACCAAACAAATTAGTGAGTCAAATAATGTCCGCTGCATAGGTCGAACCCTAAAACAACGCAGACCTATAAATGTACATAATGTGGACGGAGTATTTGCAAAATCTACCAAACAAATTAAAGAGACAAAATCATTTTGAAAATTATAAAAAAGAAAAATTAAAATAAACGGTTGCGATATGAGGACACAACGTGTCGATCTCTCACCAACTAAAATTCAAGTAGTTCACGACACTACATAATTAGTTTTAAAGTTTAATTATACTATTATTATTTAAATAGAACTCTATTTACAATTGTTTTTCTCTCACATGCAACATCACATACCAATGTTTATATGCCAAGAAACTGCAACAATTTTCGTAGCATTTTTATCTCCTTCTATATGTATTTGTCTTTGTTATTTTCTTCTTATTAGATTAGATTAGATTATTTTAAAGCAATTAATTATATTGTATATTTGATTTTTTTCCATATCAAGAAATATTAAAAATTTTTACAACACTTTCATCTATTTTCTTCTTATTATATTAGATTAGATTAGATTATTTTAAAGTAATTAATTATATTGTATGTTTTATTAGATCACAAAGTTTAATTATACTATTATTATTTAAATAGATACTGTTTGTATAAAAATCAAAGAGAATCTCACACATATATTAAATCTCGATACTAATTGTAATATTTACACATGGGTGTTAGTTAAAATATATTTCATGTATGGGCTTAACTTATATAATCCTACTTTAACCGGATTAGATAATTTAATTTTTTTAACACCCAAACACTTCCACAAAACCAAAAGAGAGTAGCAATGCTATATATATATATATATATATATATATATATAATAGTTATAATATATATATATATATATATATATATATTATATATATATTATATATATATAGTATATATATATATATATATATATATATTATATATAGAGGCGAAGAGAGAGAGAGAGAGAGGAGAGAGGAAGTAATAACTCCTATCCTTAAGTGGATATGAGGCATTATCCACCAAACTTTTTTATGCCCTCATCTGTCTCAAGATTTGTGCTATCAAAAGATGCACAATCTTAAAGATTCTTATATCTATCACGGATCCTATGCATATCAATGATAAAAAGTTGGACCTGATGACTCATTCCTATCCACACTTAAGTTTGACATAAGCTTTTAGCACACACACAATCCACATCACACACACACACACACACACACATATATAATATATATATATATATAATATATATAAATATATATATATATATTATTATTATAGTATATAGTATATCTATATATATATCCACAAGACTACAGATATCTTAAAAATGAACGAAGAAAACCACAAAAAAAAACCATATTAATTACCCACACACACCCACTATTTTCAAAACCACCATTCTCCATCTCCATCTATTATATATCCACATATCAAATTAAGCTGCTGGAGTTTCCCCTCACAAACTACACCATTCTCCATCTCCTTTGTACTTAAATTATATAACATTCATTGCGATAAGGACTCACATGGGTTCTTCGCCTGCCTTAAGCATCCAACAAAAAAATAATGTACTAAGCATTGTAGTTAGTTAATAATGAGATCCTATCATTATAAATAAACTAAATAAAGATTAATAATTCTTAAGAATGTACTATGTTACCCTATCTTCCCTTGCAAACTTGTTAGTTATTTATTCCCGGCCCGAAGATATTTTCAAAATTAATCATCTATTTAATAAAAAATTTAAATAAAATTTATGAAAAAATGTAACAAACCATGTTTATAGATTTTAATTCAAAATGAATCTGACTTATTTTATAGTAAGAAAATAAACGAAAAAAATAATAATTTTGATATTTAACCACGTGCATTGCACTGCACGTGCACAAGAACTAGTAGTCATCAAAATCGAATCTATTCGGCAAATAAATATTGAGCTATTTGATATGGGCCGGCCAACTAGCTACTATTAGGATCTGCTCGATCTAATTGGGCTGGAACCGGCTTTGTCCCAGCCTCAAAAATTCCAACAACGCAAACAATCTAAACCGTCCAATTCTATCTAAGCATGTAAACGGTCTAGATAACGCAACAGCTGAAAAGCCTCCGTATAAAAGCTGGGGTTAAGGTTTTCGTAGCCCTCTGAGGGCGTCAGCAGGGGGAGGGGTGGATCTTCGCTTCATCTAGGGTTAGGGTTTCAGTCGCTCTCCCTTCACCCCAGCGAAAAATGGTACTCATCTGATCCCCTCGTCTCTTCTTTGTTCTACTGTGTAGAGATTCAGTAACAAACGAGATGAAAGCCTTAACTTTTAATTGTAAATCTCTCCATCTAGTCTTTGATAGTTAAGAGCTGGGTGGCAAAAATCGTATGGTTCTGTGAGCAATCGTAGATGTGGATTTAGAGATCATGATGGGGTTATATAGGCCCATTTGATGCTTTTGTTTAATGCTTTTATTAACGAATTGATGATCTCTCTCTCTCTCTCTCTCTCTCTCTCTCTCTCTCTCTCTCGGGTATCTGAGTGTCGCTTAGTAGATTTTACCCTCTTCGTTTGAAAGCTGGCAGAAAAGCAAATGCAGGCTTCTAAGGATTTCATAGGATAGTTCTTAAGAAACGGTTGGATAGAGGAATGGCTTGAGATAAGGATTCAGAAAAGCTATGTGAACCCAAAGAGACTGTAGATAAATCATCTTCTTATCCTGCATCTGAGGTAACAGCAGCAATTTCAAATTTACAATCAATATGCATTGTGTGCCTAGGTATAGAGGGATGATATCTTGAGGGTTTTTTAGTACTCGAAGCAGGGTTTGGGCGGGAGTTTGTGCCTTAATAACATGTGAACTTCACATTGTCTGCTACTGTTATTAATCTGAAGTATGTTGGTCCCAGTTTTAACTGCTGCAAAGTTCAATGCAGTACGGAACTTGTCATGTTGGAGATCTATCTAGTGCTTATGCTACACTCGCTCCATCCATGTAACCGATGCATGTTAAGCATTACCTGCAATATAAGTGTAGTCTATAGCAGCACCCAATGAATTAAAACAGACCTCGTGGTACTACGGGACATTCTTTTTCAACAGAACTGCGGCATTCCTAATTATATTGTTTTCTTTTTCGTTGGTGATCCTCTTGTGCTCATTTTCGTCCCTGTAGTAACATTACTAATATACTTCCTTCACATGCAAGGTATTTCAAATTTTAACCTTTTATTTGATGATTTTTTTTCTTTATTTTTGTTAGCGAATTATCTGGGAAAGACGTTTCTGAATCCTTATCTCGAGCTACAAATGTAGTATATCTTGATCATGATGTACTTTTTGGGACTACAATTGTTCTTGTAAACCAGGAGTCTATGCCTCTACCTACGTTAGCTACATAAGAACCTTCTTTTTTAAATATTCTTGATTACTGGTCATCATCATGTTAAAGTGATAGTGGTTCCAAAGTTTTGTAATTTATTAAAGTCCACCATGTACTATTATTTCCATGAGTTTTGCGACTTAGCCATCGCTGCATCAGAAGTTGTTTTCCTTCGCACGGGGCTTGCTAACTGACGACTATTCTGTCTCCGAGAGTGGCAATAGTAACTGTTAGCATCTTGAGCCTAGTTTACATCATAAGAAGTGTTTTTTCTATTGCTTTCCTTGAAACTTTTTGTCACCACTTAGTTCCATTTATTTTTCCACTTACCGTGTTTTGCACTTTTGAAGAGCCAAATAATTACATAATAGATGTCTTAGAGTTTAGATCCACTAGGATGTCTAAGTGCACTTTCATTGCTTTGATTTCTATTTCTTCTATTAGCTGTACTGCAAAGGTACTTTTTTTGTGATGTTTTGTTGAGTTATTAAGAAATTCAGCCTCTTAATTTCATATATTTTATTGTGAGCTCAGACTAAGCGCACGAAGAAGGCAGGAATTGTCGGGAAGTATGGTAAGTTATCATTTAACTTCATTGTTCTTATTCAGTCAAAAGAAGCATTTTGTTCTTGGTTCTCGCAACCTCTTTGAGTTCTAAATAGAGTGAGAATGCAGGAACCCGATATGGTGCAAGTTTAAGGAAGCAGATCAAGAAAATGGAGGTCAGCCAACATGCAAGGTACTTCTGTGAGTTTTGCGGAAAGGTAAATCAAAGAACATGTTCTCATGTCAAGTGTTTTCATTGTTCATGCTAAAGATGGCACGTCATAATGCAGTTTGCAGTAAAAAGGAAAGCTGTTGGTATTTGGGGCTGCAAGGACTGTGGCAAAGTGAAAGCTGGTGGTGCCTACACAATGAAGTAAGATTGCGTTCTCTAACCATGAATAGATTAATGGTTTTTTATTGTCAATTTATTTCAAGATTATTTCACCAGTAGAAATTTTCTCAATCATTTTCTTTGGCATTCACTTCACTACCCTCTGAAAGTTAGATTTCATGAAAATTTGCCACATAGGTATAAATTGTTGCTTTCTTACATCAGCGTGCTGCATCTCTCAGTACTGATGTTCATTTTTACATTTCTTTAGCACATTAATGTACTTGTTATCCTAACACTGCTTACTCAAGGTATCCCTTATTTTGATCCATATTTTTGAACTTCAACTATCATATATTTTTACTTGATGCGTACATCTTTAACGTTTATTGGGTTTTACTTCTCAGCACTGCTAGTGCAGTCACGGTTAGAAGCACCATCAGGAGGCTGAGGGAGCAGACAGAGAGTTAAATTTTTGCTCGGATATCGTCTGCTAGTTTTGGCTCTTATCAAGTTTGTGATTGAGCAGAGACGAAATGCCATTTCTGACAATATTTGTTTTTGCAACATTTGAATATCGTGGATTAGATGCTCTACTAAATATTTTGTTGAAAACGTTTGTGTTGGTTTTTTCGCTATACTGAGATTGATTGCCGGTTTGGATGGTTGCATATTCTTTGCTCTTTCAAGTCTGGAGTTTGCTTGTCATCTTTAATTGTGTTTGTGGTGAGGAAATGTGAGAGCCAATACTATGGGGTTTTATTATTTATTTTATATTTGAGGGGAAAATGTTTATGGAACCATGATATTTGTTTAATCAAATGGTGTTCAGTGTCCTTGGGCAGATTCTCTCTGCTCCTCAAAAGGAGGATAGAAGTACATCTATTACTTCCGTTTATGTACATTTCCCTCGTAGTTCCACGCGGTTACTTCAATGCGTATTTTGAACCGTACGACGTTGACAGAGTCTGATCTGATGTCTTCTATGATAGAAGAAAGATCCAAGTGATCTGCTGTGGATCAATAGCTACACCAAAATTGTACAGCTTAATTGCGCATAAGTACCCTATAGTTTCCCTGTGCATTTGTCTACCCACATGCTTAAGTACCCTATAGTTTCCCTGTGCATTTGTCTACCCACATTTGTTCGTGGCAGCACTCGCATACCATAAAGCTTGCGCTTTTTTTATAGCACTCGTAAGTATACTCTTTCAAGTTTTTATACCCTAAAGTTTTTTAAAACTTGCACTTGATTATGCAAACCTGAGGTTGTTTAAATGTAAGTTTTGAAACCAAAAAAATTTAGGTCATATAACTGCAATTAAGTTAAAATTTAAACCAACATATCAGAGAGAACCTCCAGAAATTGTGCGGAATGCGGAAAGTACGCACATGCAATATTTCAACTCGAAGAGACAACTGAGATCAGACTACAAAGTTTCACAGAAAGCAACATATAATATGGGTCAAGAGATAGCTAAACAACCACAGAAACAAAAAGAAACTGAGAAATCATCGCCTTGAAGTTTAATGATATCAGAGTGTATGCTACCTTGAACATCTTTAAATAGCAACACTAACAAGCCAAAACACACTGTATCTCAAAGCCCATCACCACTAACAAAGTAACAAACCTAAGCAAAGCTGTACAGTTACAAGTAAAACAAAAATAAACATTGGCTTAATAAATAATGAGAACCATTGATTAGACGTTGAACCGCCACCGACTCCTCAAACCTGCCACATAATTTTCTTCAGAGCAAAATAGCAGAATGAAGAACCTCAAGGTTCACCATGATTTAAAGAGCTCATCTCTGGAGTCATGACTTGTGAATCTTAAACCCAAATACTCTTTGGACATATCGCTGTGATGGCTTCTGTGGTTTAAGGTGTGGATATGTCATCTGAAAAAGGTGTGGAAATGTAGTGCCGAAATACGCCCCGTCAAGATCTATGCTATGTCAAGAAAATTTAACCAAAGGACGTAAGAAAAACTAATATAGTAATAACACACATATACAGAGAAGAGTAACGATAAATGTACTATAACTTTGATATTACTTTGGTACTACCACAAGTAAAAGAGTGGGGCAACGATGAGTCACCTTTTTTTAATTACAATTTTCAAGGAAGGGCCCCATTCATTTGTTTGTGGTAGTGCCAACGTAGTAGAAAAGTTATACTACACTTATCATTTGTCTACACAATACAATTATCCTCGAGAGAAAGAAAACACATCAAGATGTATGCCATGTCCAAAAAATTCACCCAATGGATTTGAAAACTGCAAACCAATAAAGTAATGCAACAATGCAATTATTCACACAAGATATTTGTACTTGGCCAAATGCAAGTGAAACTGGGGAAAAAAAGTATAAAGATATTTTAAGTATTTCCAGAAAGTTTTGATTATAAAAAGGGTAAATTACACTAAACCCCCATGAACTTTTAGTGTTTTGCAGTAAACCCCCACGAGCTTTTGTTGATGTCAGTCAGTTAATTGAGAGAGTAATAATGGTTCCCTCTCTCTCTTTTGATGGCTGATTATGACCTCAAACACAGATTCCTGCACACAGTAACACCGTTAGAGGATCGGATGAAGCGGTAATCAGAGCCCATAATCTAAATGGGACATATACACTAGTGTCAAATCGCCGCTATGATGGTAAACGGCCTACTTTCTCAGCAGAGCCAATATAGTAAACCCCCCTGGGTATATCATAATCCTTGGCGATCTGCACAAGACGAGGTTAGGTCGATGTGAACCTCCTAAGTAGGTCGATCCGAGCCTCGTTACCTGAGACAGAAGGCTGAGCACTAGACGGCATCATAACAATCGAAGAAGATGATCGGAAAGGTTGGTCGAGGGATCTTTTAGAGGAAGAGAGAGATCCTCGGCGACGAAGTGCAGATATGTCTAGGTCTTGTAAAGTGAAAAAACAAGAAAAAGCAAAGATATATATAGGAGCTGGCAAATGACACAAATGACACGATCCGAACGACCAGCTCGGTAACCTAAAAGACAACTGATGGTTTATAAAAGTGAAAGCAACACTTCATCGACCGAAGCGTCCGCTCGATAACCAAAGCGCCACTCCGTCAAAACTGTTGCACGATCGCTAACGTCACCCTATCACATTGCAACAATCGTCCAAGAAAGACGACTCGAATCTCCTAAACGACAAAGAGCCAGAACTATTATATTTCTCTTGAACTCGGCTTTCCGAGTCGAATTGAAAGGGGCTAGTGTTGTACTCTAAAAATTACTGAGGATAATAGACTCCCTTTAGGCGGCAACGTGTCATGTTTAATTGGCCTATATTCCCCAAATCTAAGAACCTGACTCAGGTATGCACATAGCCAACTTGTTTTTAGAGATGCAGATCCGAGACGAAAGACATCTTTGCGTCAGTTTCTCAACCCGAATCCAAGAAGAAAAGTGCCTTCAAGCGGGTATCTGCTTAAGGAGTCGGAAATTACGAGATGAATGACGTCTTTCACTCAACTTCACTGCGGAATGTATCGAACGATGGATCAACCTATCAGCTTCACCGTGCTTAGCTACGTAGCCCAGCCGCCATCACATTAAATGCATGGCCAGGGTCATTATAACTCCCCCGCCACAGTCATAATGACTCCTCTAATGACGCCAGCACTTCAGCCATCCTATCACTGTCGCGTTAAACACGAGGATGACTTGATTGCTTCATGACCGACACGTGTAAAGCACTATTTAATCAACCGCCCGCACCGACATGGTCAATTACCAAAAAATCCCCCGCGGATTCCCATAAATTGGGATGATTTCTTCTGCATGAAGGTAATATTGGTTATACAATACGCTAAAACTAAATTTAGTATTTTTGACCACTTAATCAGTAACTGACATGAGCGTCAAAAAGCCTATCGTAAAACCCAACTTCAATCCTCCAACGGTGTTACTATGTACATGAATCTCTATTTGCGGTCATAATCAGCCATCAAATGAGATAGATGGACCCTAAAGTCCTCCAAAGCCATTATTACTCTCCTAATTAACTAAGTGACATCAACAGCTCTCAAAATCATACTAAACCCCTAATAACTTCTTGGAATTGTAGAAAAAAGCCCACGACCTTTCAGAATTTTGTAGAAAACCCCCATAAATTATAACAAAAAACGACAAAAAGGAAAGCTCATGGGGCTTGGTGTAATTTACCCTATAAAAATATATACTGGCAAAATGAAAATTTTGAATCGGCTTTAAGAAAATTTATTATGGTGGAACACTCTTCTAATTAATGGTGTCTATCATGAGAGTTAATTAGAGATTACAAATTGAATAATATTCCCTAAATCCTAATCATCTTACTGTTGCAACTCAAATCTAAATATAGTGCATGTATCAAAAGTATGATCATTGTGTAGTCAATTTCCTAGCCATACTGCTTGCCAACATAAATGATCGCTGAACCCAATGATGACCAAAACATTTGCCATGAGCTACTGATTAACTAATGTATCCATGCAGGCCCAAACCTAAAAAACAAAGAGATAATATGTATGGTATTTTAATTTCAAATTTGCAAGCTCATGCATCAACTGGCTTCTCACAGAAGGCACTCAGGGGATGCATGGTGCATGAGTAAAAAATTTGTCCAACATAACCACAACAATAATGAAGCCTATATTCCAAATTTTTGGAGTCAGATACATGAATCATTTAATTCTACTCTTTCATTCATTTCTATTATGGGTCATCCCCTCTGTCAAATAACTATTATCATATCCTTTATCCTTTATGATTGCTTCAACCAAGTCTTGTTAGGTCTACCTCTAGTCCTCCTTGCCCTATTAACAATAATCTTAACACTTTTCCTAGCCGGTGCATTTAGGAGCGACCTGATCTCAAAGTAACGTGGCTAGAATTCTTAGCATGGGAGGCTCCAAATCTCCCTATGCTTTTAACCATAGTAACCTGGAAAATCCATTTTTAGGAAATGTTGTTGATCGCAACAGATGTTGGACATCAGGAAACAAAACGACACTTTGACAACCATGCCCAACAAATTGGACACTTGTTGAAAGAAGGAATAAGAGTTTCTAACATGTAATGAGAAAAAAATGGAAAAGAATTGAAAAGGACATCTGGAATGACTCCACATATGCAAAGAACAAAAACATGGATTCTTCTTTTCTTTTTCTTTTTCTTTTTTTTTTTTTTTTTGGGAACCCCCCCACAAAAAAAAAAAATCCTTAAGAAAAAACACACACACACACAACACAAACACATGCACAAGTGCTCCCATGACCCAAGATAAAATGCACCACGCGTCAACAAACATAAGAAAAACGTCATGATGTTTTCAGGATGCTCGTACAAATATTCTTACAAACACATTTAAGCATGAATAAATTTGACAGAATCTTCAATCTTGACATTAACCTGAAAAGAAATTAAATCAATATACACAAACAATAATCATCCAAAATATTCAAATTATCCTGATCTTTTTAGAACTCTATATATGTGGATGATGAAAATGGTTATGAATTTTATATTTAGTATTTACATGAGAATGGTTTTCCTAAACATACTCTTAGCTCATTCAGCAAAATGAGCTATCATCTCATGCCCATTATTTCCAGATATATTCCATGGATAAAATTCAGGCACATACCCCTACTAATTGGTCTCTATCTCTTATTCTCACTACGCACTTCCTACATAATTGTAGTTATGAATATTTCAACTTCAATAGTAAATATCATCTATGAATGAAAAGTTCAATCTCATTATTAAGCTTCAAATGCATGGTTATAAGATCAAGAAAAATTGCTTGAATGAAAAGGATACTGCCTTGGTACTTTGACCTTGGGTAATATATATCTTCGCACTTTGGGCAATAGATTTTCACAGTACTGGAACGAGGAATGTCAGCTTGTCCGACTGGAAGACAAGGCTGACCACAGCAATAAACTCGTGGGCATCTTCCAAAGTCATAGTTCTTGAACTTCTCCAGCTGCAGAGATTGCCAGGTAAACTTGCTATTTTCCTAATCAAACAGTACATAAAGGAAATCTCGTTTACTTTGAAATCTTACCATAGCAGCAAGCCCTTTACTAGTTAAAATATATCTAACATGGATCAGACCATATAGCATCTCTGCTGCTGATTCAACCAACTCATTTTGTTCCTCGGTGAACATATCACCTGTACAGTTGTATGAGCAAGATAATCTCAATAGAAGCCCAATATCATAAGTAAAATGATAACAGAAATGAAAAATGCAAACCATCGTATGGATTTTGGAAGAAACTGTCATTCTATTCTGTATTATTCTCATCAACAAAAGCTTGCACATAGATAAATGTCTTCCAAATTAAAAATGAAAAACATAATAAATATAAATATTTTTCATATCTTAAGGGATTGTGGGTGAGTTTAAAAGCCTACGGGGAAGCAAGAATACTCCCATGTTGGTGATTGAGCATAGATGTTAGCATGTTGAATTCAAAGAAAAATGAATACTAAAAGCTTGTTAATACCTAGGAAAGATAATAATACTTCACAACCCTAATTGACTTGAATGAGAATAGAAAACATGGAATTAGAGATTGCGCATGTGTTGCACCCTGTCATTAGCATTCAGCCCCTTCAGTTAATTCGAAACATCAAGTGGAATTCAAGTACTAAAAAGAACTCGGCAGTGAAATCAGCATAGATGCCTTTAAAATCTCTTAACAACTATCTTGAAACGGACTAGATAGTATGACTATTCAAACACTGGCTCTTTTAGCAAGAAGGCAGACCAAGACTGCAACTAACTGCCCTCTGAATACCCATTCTTTTACCTGATGCTAAAAGCCAGCATCCTCAAGACAGGAAACAGTACTTTCAGTTACATCGTTTCATAAAATTCTTGCCTTTATTTCTTCCGTTGATGCTAATTATGGAAGGATCTGCCATGAAAATGGTTGTGAATGATCTATGACATTTTCAGAGGGAAAGAAATGACTGCATACATATGAATGAGTTTATAACTAAAGGCCAGACACTTAAGCATTTGACCTGTCAAGATTCAATAAGAAATTCAAGGCCTCAAGAAGAAAGGAGTAAGAATTGCAGTTCTTTCAGAGTTAGTGGATTACTGGACAATGGTCTCACCTAGTATAAAGCTTGAATGTTAATGTTAAAAGTTGACTCGTGAATGCCTTGCAAACAGTCAACACAGGTTGTGATATTTTAGTATACTTGGATGAATAATAAGAATCAGGAATGTTTCCTGAGTGCTTCCAGCAAAAAAAAGGAGAGTTCAATAGAATACATGATGCAAGGGTCAGGTGATCAGAATACATGATGCAAGGGTCAGGTGATCAGAATACATGATGCAAGGGTCAGTGAAACAAAGTACCATAAAAAGTATAGGCATTTTACAACTGTGATCTTGTCTGCATATAATACATAGAATAAGCATTCAACAATTTCTTGAAGTGTAGTGAATATTAATGTACCGAGCTTACCATGAGATGATTCAACATCCAAGATCAGATCAAGAGCATAATCATAGTAAGGAACTTGACTGCTTAAGCCACAAAGATTGAAATCATCTTGTATGTAACCATCATCAACTTCACAAAAGAACTCATTTCCTCTTAGATTACAGAACCATGTGATCCATGATGTGTCCTCCCCATCCGAACCGCTAACATCAGATTCTTCACTGTCTGTTTCAGACTCTTCTGCTGTAAATAAAATGGAAGAGCACATAAAAAGACATGGGCAGAGGGATTTTGGTTCAAGATTGGCAAATGAGAATATTTAGCAAAATTTTAACGGATAAGGAAAGCATATTGACATTTTTAACAAAAGAAAGCACATAATCATTATTTTCAAATAACTGGGGGGAAATGTGCAAGACAAAAAAATATGTTTGAACATAAATGAGCAAGCATCTAAAATATGAAGTAGGCCAACAGAAAATTATGCATCCGAAGTGTGGTTAAAAAAAGGAACCAATGAAGAAGCAAAGCCTCCCAAGAGGACTGTCACCACCTGTGAACATTAGGGAGGATACCGCAACTTTTAAAAGTGCCTCCTTCAAAATAAAATATATGATCCACATATTTCCTCCATTACTAGAATAGACTATAAATTAAGCTTCAAAGCAGTTTTTAGATTAAGAAAATGCAAGCTTTCTAAAACCGAATCATCAATGAGACAGATTCTTGATTTAGCATCTCATCAGTCGAAGATGCTTATAGCCAAATATAAAGTATAAACCTTCTTTCAACATCCTGCTTGCTAAATGATTCACAACTCCAGCCCAACTTCAACGACCAAGAGCAAAAAGCCAAATGAACTTTTCAACCAACAGTAGTGTACTAACCCTCTAGCAATGAGAGAAATTAGAAAGTAATCAACGGACACAGTACATATCTTAATAACTAATGAATTCTCTATAAAGGTGCATAACAGATATGCATCAAAGTAACACTATATAATTAATGACTCCAATCATCTAAATCTTTATGGTATTTCATTTTTGTGTTATTTGTAAAATTTAGACGGTCTTTTGAATTGATGTCATAGTCTTATTTGTACAAGAATACGCATCCATAGTAATCTTTGATGCTTTTTGATAAGTTATAAATTCATATGTATGATTGAATATGTGCCTCCAAAGTAGTCTTTGATGCTTATTTATCAGTTATTAATTTATATGTATAATTGAATATGTGCACCCCACCCATAGGAAAAAATTTCTCGATCTGTTCCTGCCCTAGATGTCATTATGCAAAATTTGGCACAAGCCCATATATAGCCTACTTTTGTGTACACAGATATGACCAAAACTGAACATTGAGATTTTTCAATTTCATCAGGTCCTTTGAAGACCTCCTGAATTGTAAGGTCACAAAACCAAGCAAGAAACTCGAAACCAACTCACAAAGAGCATAGATTTAGCAAGCCTTCTACAAAAGCTTCCCAAATATGTAGATGGCCAATTGATGGGGGGAAAGGTCGTCCTTGGCAGTTTCATTTCACTTAACATTCTCAACAACGTAGTTATTTGGCTAGTCAAATATTATGATAACCTTTGCCATGCAAGTGATCGATCAGTTAATCAATTTTGAAACGAACACCAACATTTGAAAGCTCTCACTCGCTCGTTAAATTAATAAATAACCAAATTGTAGAAAAGAAAGAACGAGGAAATTTACCATTGTTCTTGTGAAAAGGAGTTGACCG